ACTAATATTGCAGATAAATAGGTGGATCTCTCAGATTATCAAAGATGGAGATACTAGAGAAATTCCTTATTTTGTAAGTCTCTTGCATGTTACTCCATCCGTTCCAAATTATAAGACGTTTTGGTTTTTCTAGATACATTGTTTTTGCTATGTGTCTAGACATAGTGTATATCTAAGTGCATAGCAAAATCTATGCATCTAGAAATGCTAAAACGTCTTATAATTTGGAATGGAGGGAGTACAAAATTATTTTTTAAAAAGAAATCTGCAGGACGTTGCACTTGACCTTTGCCAGTTGAATCAAGATAGTTTTACAAGAGAAAAAAAATTGTGTTATTGTGTATAGGTTAGCTAGACATATGTAGACTTCAAGAATGTCCATTCCATTAATGATTTTTAATTAGATTGACTTTTCAGTTAAAGAATGCTCTTATAGTTTCCTTAGCATGTATCCTTAAATGAAAGGGGTAAGAATATGCAAGAAATGAAATGTACTTCCACATAGACCAAAGGACGATTGACTCACTTGCTTGACTTGTCTTACTTGATCCAGTCATTGCCCAATGTATCTCCTGCTTTTGATGACTGTCAACATTATTTGGTCGATACAAGTTGCCTCTAACCATTTTTGTATGAACACTCGTTCTATCTACCCAAGCACCTAGAATATCTAACTTTACCATGGACAATTACTATGCGATTGAGGTCTAAGCATTAATTGTACCGGGGACGAAAATGCTTTCACTTCTGAAAATAATGTTTTCAGAGCAGTCACATTGCACCAAGTGTATACCATATCCCCCATATTGTTAATCTTTGCAGTGCTCATTTGTGTGTGTAGACTTCAAAGGTGCCAGATCTTGTACCAGAGGAAACAAGCAAAGAATGGCTAAGAAATTCTAAAAGTATCCGCTCAGCAGGGAAAAGTCTAAAAGATAACATTGGTTTCCATGTCCAAGATTACCTAACCCACCCAATGATTGGTTCAACTTTGCTTATGTGCGGATGTATTTCTATGGGAATAATATGGTTCAGGAACAACAAACCAACTCAAAGTACTCGACAGGTAGTTTCATGTTTGATATAAAATTAGATGAGCATTACCTTATTTACTGATTCAAAAACTTTTGGAGTTCTCCCCATGTCTATGCTCAATTTTCTTAATGTTGGCTCAGTCAGTTACAGGTAGTTTGTGATGTAGGTTTTGTCTCATACAATCTGAATAAACTGTGATGTCGCCAATCTAACTGTTACACTCCACATGATTCACTATTCATTTGTTTCCAACAAAAAAAAAGTCACTTGGGTGGTATTTGATCTGAAGGTTCTTGCATTCCATAAAACCTACTCGTTTTTCTAGCAAATCGAAACATCACGTTCTTAACACTTCAGAAAGTATGTTTATGTTTGACTTGTTACTCAGCATTCAGAACTCTGATAGTATGTGGTGTCATCTCACAGGAGAAAGCTCCGAAAGACAAGACAAAGAGACCTCGTCCAAAGCTTAGCACGTCGCTCTTCGGTGAACCTTCTGTCGCAGACGTTGACCCAAAAGACGCTCGTCAGTGGGAGATGTCAGACTCGGATTCAGACTAATGACTTGCTCCTTACATTTGGACCTGACCTACTGCAAGGATGTGTTAAACTTTAGTAAACTATATAGTAGTGTGGTGGCCCTAATTTTGGCAAATGTGACAGATTTCAACCGATATAGTGAAAACAGTTGGATCACTGAAGTAATCAAGTTGCCATCTTTCTGATGCTTCAGCTGCCCTGTGACGTGACTTCAGGGACATATTTTTGCTATTGTTATGTTGACACATGCTTGTAAACTGACAAGCCTGGTGGAGATCTCTGTTAACCTATAATCTCAGAATGGAGTGAACTATAGTAGACAGGAACATATCTGTCTCTAGAATATGTAAATGATGTATCCCACAACAAACAACGTACATGCATATTTGATGTAAGCTGGCATGTATTTGCGTCGTGTCCAAGCCAAAACGGTTAACATTGTGATACTTGCTTTTGTTTTGATTTTTTTTATAAATATAATGCCTTTCAGGCATACCGCGTGCATTTGCTGCAGTTCTCGAGAGCTAGGTTGGGCAAAAACTCAAACCAAACGCATGTCAGCTTGAAAGTTGTTAATATCTTGAGGGGAGTGGTAAAAAATTTAGGTTTATTGTTGTGTTTGGTTTGTTATCAAGTTTGCTTCATTCTGCTAGGAAGTTGGTAATTCTAATTGGTGACGAGAAAAAAAGCCAAAGTAGTGCCACTAAATTTGTAGTTCTAAATTCTAATGTTGGCATGCCAAAATTTTGCTTGTCTAGAACCTGGCAATTGGGTGAAGATCAAACAGCATCGTCTCCTCTGTAATCCCTCTTCATGATGAACTTGTAGGTCTTCAGGTTGGCGCCTTGCCCACAGATCCACTGAAACGGCCTCCCCCTTCATGCCGCTGCACCCAATGGTGCTTCTCTAGATGACCAGATTCCTGTGTGCAACGAAAATGATATAAGGAGCTGAATCCCTCATGCACTGTAACTTGCTGGTTCATCGAATTGTGGACCATAGGAATAGGAGCAGGTGGCAAATTTGGGTTTCGAAAATCACACATTACAGTACTTTACCAAGAGTTTGGTGACCATTTCAAAATTGGGGCAGATATAGGGCTAAACAGAGTATATCAAGCTCTTTTTATATGAAATTATGGAGTATCAATTTTTCTTATAGTTCCATTGATCTGCAATTGAAACCTCAAGTGCGACACTGACGTCAGACTTGAGAAACCTGACATACAGCTCTCTGGAGTATGGATGCAGTGCGATTGTTCTGTGACTATGAAGTGAACGGTACAGGATAAACGACGAGCCAATTGAGTATTTGGCTAGTCTCCGTTGCATGCATCTACCATGCAGAGAGGAGAGATATGCAAGTAATCCTCACCATGCAAGCATAGATAGAAGTCAGCAATTTTCTATATAATGCAATTTTCTATATAATAAATTATTTAAAATGATCTTTAAAAACTCAAACAGACCTATTAGCTCTGTTGGTTATATTGTCGTGCTAAAAACGCGAAGGTCGTAGGTTCGAGACCTGCATGGACCAATCGTTGGTTTTTTCTAAAAACGACGTCTCCACTCTAGATTTTACGTGGGCCAATCAACTTCGTTGTTTTTCCCTGCAACTGAACTCTGGACTTTTAAAACTTTTTGTTTTTTCTTGCAATCTTAAAAACTTCGTCTGCACTCTGGACTTTTACATGGGCCAATCACAAATATTCACGCTTCAGGCTATCTGAAACGATTCACCAACCAACTGTGATATTATAAAGGCGAGATTAAAATCTAGAGCTCAGTCTACTAGACTTGGTAGTTCGTACTGTTTGCATAGAATACAGTGACCATTTTGTAAGAAACACCTCTTGTCCTACGCATGGCAATAACTTTCCATAGTAGACTCACATGGACTTCCGCAATGCGCCAAGGTATTGTGCCGTCCAACCTTCACGTCTACGTTCAACTTTCATGTCATGCGTCTCATCTCCATGTCAGATCCATCAGTGTTCCTCTAGTATATCAGATATGATTATAGATTTAATGAGCACTCCATCTGACAAACTCACAAAAGTGTGAAACAGTTGCTTGAACGTGTTGAGGCGGTGGTGAGATGTCTCCTGTTATGTTCGAACCACAACACCCACCAGCCTCTCGAATGAAGAAAGAAAGAAGAGGAGAGAGAAGGGAAATAAGGGCGTATGTCGAAACCACCCCTCCCCCTAAACAACTTTGAAGCCATCAACCAAATAAGCCTAAATGCATGTGCTACTCGTGAGGACTAGGTAGGGAGTGTGTTGCAAGCTTGTTAGCTATAGTTTGTCCATGCCATCATGTAGCGTCACTTTAGGCCCTTTATATTGTGGGCTAAAAGTGAAGCTTGAAGGAGAGAGAGAGAGAGAGAGAGAGAGAGAGAGAGAGAGAGAGAGAGTATTTAAGCACTGCTCCACACGTTACAGGTAGTGATGATTATTCCATAAATTCTAGGAGCGATGCATCGATAAGAACCGATGTTTGATGATTTAAAGAAGAATAGCTGTGGCAAGATAGTGAGAGAGCCCGAGGGAAGTGACAAGGATTTATGTAGTTTTTATTGGTTTTTTTACAACAGATTTTTATTGGTTGATGGGCCCATCAATAATGTTGATGCTTACACCGTGGAATGCCTTGGGCTGAAGCCAACGCGATTGTCAATATGTTCGCTCGTTGGTTTCAACCAAATCCAAAACCAAATAAACCAATGTGTTTTTTCTCACAAAAAATCAAGACCACCAAATTTCAATCCAAAGACTAAAGACCAACCAAATGAAATGCCCTCATAGCGTGCATTATTGCTGGTCTCATGTATGCTTGGCTCATGTTGGGCTGCCAACCAGCTATTTTGAGTTACATCCCCATATTCTGGCTAAATTGAACTTGCATTTGCGCACGGCATACCAACGCTAGGTTGGACAACCAATCAAACTCTACATGACAAAATGACAATATTCTCATAACTCAATTCATTAGAGATGTTGTGAGTTTATTCATAAGTTAGTTTATTTTTTATAGCTAAAAAAATTTAACTTAGGACAAAACTACAACGACTTACAGACACGAGCAACAACTTCCGGCGAAAATCAAGGATTATGGTGCTCTACCAGAGTTTGGAGAATGGTGACCATCTCAAAATAGGGGCAGATACAGAGCTAAACAAAGTATGTGAAGCTGTTTTTAGATGAAATTATATGGAGTATCAAATTTTTTTATAGTGCCATTAATCTGCAATTGCAAGCTACTCCTACACTGCAGCTTTAAGCACCCTGACGTCAGACTTGAGAAACCTCTTCAACTAGTCGCGCTCTCTGACACGGCCCAGCGCATCGCGTCATCGTCTCCCCCTCCCCACAAGCCAGCGAATTCCAGCCCCGTGACCTCCCCAGCCCCCGATCTCCGGCGATGGCCGCGCGGCGCCTCGGATCCCCCGCCTCCAGGTGGCTGCGCCCGTCCGCGCTGCTCTTCCTGGTCGCTTCCGCCCTCCTCTCGGCCCCGTTGCCGGCCCGCGCCCTCCGGTTCGACCTCGAGTCCGGCCACACCAAGTGCGTCTCCGACGAGATCAAGGTCAACGCCATGGCCGTCGGCAAGTACCACATCGTCGGGCCCGACCCCAACTTCCCCGACGCCCAGCTCCCCGAATCGCACCGCATCTCCCTCAGGGTAAGCAAGCGAGCAGCGCCAGGCGGCTATTGGGTGATCTGGCTTGGGAGGGGAACCCATGACGATGTGCGTGTGATGATTGGGGGCACTTTCCTTGGATTGATGGGCAGGTGACTTCGCCGTACGGGAACAGCATGCACTACGCGGAGAACGTGCAGTCGGGCCACTTCGCCTTCACCGCGGCAGAGGCTGGCGACTACCTGGCCTGCTTCTGGGCGCCCGACCACAAGCCGCCGGTTACCATGGGGTTCGAGTTCGACTGGAGGAGCGGCGTCTCCGCCAAGGACTATCCCAGCGTCGCCAAGAAGGGCAAGGTCGATGTGAGTATTTCGCTTCGCCCTCCAGATTCCTACCTTTGTTTTGGTCAATTCACCACCAATCTGGTCACGTCGATAGATACAGCGTTGGCTAGTGGTTCACTTTTTGGAATTGAGAAAATAGATCATGGGTTCTAATTTACTTGTGGCAGCATAGTTACAGGACTGTTCTTTCGATTTGGGTGCTTGGTGTGGACTAACTTGTGCGGTTGTGGGACTAGTATGTTTAGACAGGAGTAATTTTCCGATTGTGCATGCTGACAGTTTGTTGATCAATTCTGTTTCACGTTGATGTTGAAGAGCATTTGGTTTTGCAATTTTCAGCTTGCTAGTGATTTTGGTGTGTTTGTATGTTGGACTCCTAGATTTTACTGGTTAGAGCTTTTCAATTTTCTGAAATAAGTTAGGTTCAATTTGGGTATGGATCGTGTATGCTTTTGTAGCCTATTTTACGCTGTTCATAATGAGTTCTTTTTAGTTTTGCTACCTGTGCTATATTGATATTTTCTAGCCCTGGTGCTGGGTTCAAGTATGGTACACGTGGGGCTGGATTTTTTTGGGAAAAAAAATATGTTCGTGTGGTTTTGTAATTTGAATCAAGAAGCTCATTTTTTAAAATTATATTGATATTAGTAAGTTATTGCTACAGTTCAATTATATGTTCAATGTGGATATAGAAAGGTCATAAGCTTAGTAACCAACAGGTTGCTTGTTACTTTTTTTGTGATATTTTTTCTTGGTTTTCATTGCAATGTTTTCTTAGTTTCATACAAGTTGTGCACCATGTTGACTGTGCTTGAATGATACACAATTGACATTTGTAATGTCTCTCACTTGGTGTTTTTTTTATCTTGTTTTAATTATGCATGACTTAATGGTAAGCATCATGTGTGATTTATAGTCAGATTCTTATTGAATATATGTTAAACGAGTTTGGTCTCTTGGCATAAAATTCTAGATAAGTGGACTCAGAGATATGATATGTGATGAAGGTGGGATGTCATGGTTTTAGCATTGAACTATTATATCTTATTAATGCTGATCATAAGGGTATTTTTTTTTTAATTTTCCATTGAAAGAAAAAGGAATGGGAGAAAAGAAGACTTATCTTTTTCTGACTTCTTAGAACTTGAAATTGGGCATTTTGGTGGCTGTGACAGCTTATCTGCTTTTCACCTCATATTTGCAAGTTATCAGGTTGTAATTTAAACTTTTAGTGCTATCTAGGAGTTGATATTGCTAATAATGTGTCCCATATAGCATTTGCTCCTCTAGTTATTTATTGGTCATGTTGACACTGCTCATAAGTCATAAGTCATAATCAATTCCTGAGACTGAGCAAAATGTCTTATTTTTGTGAGAATAGTACTACTTTTTGCCATGTTGTTTCTTAGTTCCTCTGTTCATGCACGTGTGGTTGCTCATATGTTGCAGATGATGGAATTGGAGCTGAAGAAGCTAGAGGAAACTATAAGAAATATACATGAAGAGATGTTTTATCTGCGTGAAAGGTAGTAGTCTACTAAGCCAACGAGAAAATGGATTTTGCGGAAAAACTAAAAAGCAATTCTGATACCACATGGCCATGTCTTGTGTCCAGGGAAGAGGAAATGCAGGACCTGAACAGGCGAACAAACTCAAGGATGGCTTGGCTAGGGTTCCTCTCCCTTGGCATCTGCTTATCAGTGGCAGGTTTGCAGCTGTGGCACCTGAAGACCTTCTTTGAGAGGAAGAAGTTGCTGTAGTTGCCCCATGATTCATGGTAGACCTCAGCGCAGGTGTACCTATTTTTGGGTGAACTGTCGATCTGTTACAGAGCTTGGAATCCCATGTAAGAAACTGGTATGTCATACTAGAGAAATATGCTTCACTATGCTTTAGCCTGTCCAGTTAAACTTCTAAGAAACTTAAAAAGGGGAACTAAATTGTCTTCCATTCAATAGTTCGTGTTGTATTTTGGACTTCTGGAGCACCGTGTTGACTCTTCTTTACGTGATAGTTGTGTATCTGGAGCTCCTGCCTGCGAGATATTATGAAGCTTGAGCAATGAAAAGCACGACGTTCCTAGACCCAGTCGCCAGTTCCACATGTAATCGTTTGGGTGTAGTCTGCAGCATGGCTGTTACACCATGACTGCAATGATTGATGGCCGGTAACCTGATAACTACCATATGCTACAGTTGCTACACCATGGTTGCAATGATCGATGTCTGGTAACATGATGGCTATCATATGCTTCGTAACAGTTACCAGTTCATTCAGGAAATTGCAAAGAATCACCTTCTCCAAATCACAAAGGTAACAAAGTATATTGTAATCAAACAACAAAATTTGTAATCCGCAAATATTTCTCCGTATAAAGTTTACAGTAACTTTGACAAGTAACACTTACAGAATATGCATGGTAAATTCACTTCCCATTGCCAATGAGGCAGTTCTCAATAATAAGCATATAAAGATCCTGGCAACAGAAAAGAACAGAAAAGGAAACCATCTGATCTATAGAACCCCACATCAACCTATATGCTCCAGAACTATGGTCTAATAGCTGAACATTTCTCATAATTTACGGAGAGATTCAACAAGAAAACCTAAAGCCAAAGTTGCAAAGGATGTGGTACAAACAAAAGCTTCTGTTTTGTTTAACAGAAATAGCATCGACGTAAAACAGCAAGAAAATTTTGCAGTCTCAGTGGACCTTTCTCGAGGCACCTAATTTTGTACAGTCATCAATGTCAGATCTCCTGAGAAAATCCCATTCAAGACACGAGTTGTAGTAAAGAATATATAATTATATATATGCACTGCTACTGGAACAAATGCCAGTGGTTCTCATGCGAATAATGCTCCTTGAGCTTCTCAAGCCTCTTGAGGATCTCCAAGAAAGATGGTCTCAGACTGATATCCCCAGACCAACATAGCTCAACCAAACTGCAATAAGAAAAACAAGTTTAAATACTACAGCACACTCGCCATGTTAACATGGTAATTGTAAGAGTGTCAAGGATATTTTGACTTATACATACTCCTTCAACTCAGTGGTATGACTTTTACGGAAAACTGGGCGATGCCCATCTGCCACGTACTTAGCAGCCTCATAAGGTTCGTAGTTGGAGAAGGGTGGATCACCTTCCAGCATCTACGATCATACAGAATAATCTGTCATTCAGTGATACCACCTTACTGCTGGGTGCTGGCTTCTACTTTTAGGGATGAAATTACCTCATATAGAATCATGGCAAAAGAGAAGATATCAACTTTCTTGTCATATTTCCGGTGCTTGAAAACTTCAGGGGCCATGTACCGATCTATGTTTGTCCAAAGTTAAACATTAATATATTGAATTCAAGAGAAGATATTCAAAGGAAAGTGGCAGCTCCTGAAGCTTACAGCTTCCTGTCTCTCCAGTCATCTTGTATACATCATTCACATGCTGTGCTTTGATGATCTTGCTAAGGCCGAAGTCTCCAACCTTCAAGTGGTTGGCAGCAGAATTCACCAGAAGAATATTTCTAGAAGTTGACACATTGAGTTAGACTGGGACAAAAAATATTGTCACATTATCAAAAGCAAGCAATCCCATGACAAACCTTGGTTTTAAATCTCGGTGAATCACAACATTAGGCTCATTATGAAGATATGCCATTCCTCTGCAAAAAGAACAAACATAATGAAGAAAATAACACAAAAATCAATTATTACAGCTAAGAATTACGGAAAACCAGCTAATACATTGGAGGAGTGACAGTGGTATGCAATGACGTGAGTCAGAAATATATGCAGGCAGTATATGAAGGCTCAAGGATATGGTGTTTATGGCATAACTAGAATGCATATACTATTATGGCACACCATCTCAATCTACAGTTCAAATAGATCCAACCGACCATGTTACTATAAGTTTATAATGCTGTCAACTAAATAGATTTGACATGATCTCGCAAGGGGTGATAAATAGATGCATTTGTAACTGCAGAGTCAAGGTACTCACGGTCAAGGCTATTCTTAGCTACTATATATTACACGAGAAATTATTTAAACAGCATAATGGCTGTTCTTAACAACTATATTACAACTATAAAGGCCTCGAGGAGAACACAATATTACTCGAGGATGTTTCGCTGTGTTTGTCCTCGCCCGTGGGAGAATACGTCTCGCAATATTCGTCCATTGAGGACATCAATTGTGTAATTATTGTATATATGTTTTCACTCCCTATCCCGAATCAAGTGCTTTGAAACAAGAGAAATAGTTGTATCATGTAATTAATAGGGGAGCGCATGGCCATCCCAAATCAAGTACTTGTGCTATGGACAAACACAGTGAAACAGAGTTACAGAGGTGTATGCACTAAGAGTCAAGCACATGAGGTGAGAGTACCTTGCAATATCCAGTGCAAAACTAACAGCGGTAAGTGGGTTGAGTGCACCTTTGTCCTTCAGATATTGATGAAGATCACCCTGAAAAATGCATTTAACTTAACATGAGCAGGTTTCAAATAGTCGACACAAAATGATAGTTGAACACAAAGCAAAATACATACTCCTCGTAGAAACTCAGTAATTAGCATTAGAGGCTTGGTTTCTGTAACTGCTCCAAGGAACTGGACAATATTTGGATGTCTCAGCTTTATTAGCAAGTTGACTTCATGCTTAAAATCTTGGCTGCAGGAAAGGAAAAAAAACATTACATAAATATATGCATACACAAACATGTACTATAGTTAACTATGATTGATGAAAAGTTGGTGTACAGTCAATCAGTTGGAGCAAGCAAGGAGGTCGATAGTTATTCTGATATGATTGACATACATCACCAGCCTGTCATCAGATAAGGATGGAAGAATGCGCTTGACAGCAATAGGTGTTCCTCGCCAATTTGCTTTCAGAATTTCACCGAAAGAGCCCTGTTGTAGGAAGCAGGTTTCACAAACTTAAGATAACCCAATACAAAAGGAACTAAAAGTGAAGTACAGTAAATCACTAAACTATGCTATACTTTATCAAATAATTGTATTGAGAAAGAGATGTTTCAAGACTTGAAACCTTTCCGATAACTTGTGCTTTTGTAAAGTCCAATTCAAGTGGGTTAATCTCCCAGTCAGCCTTATTTGTTAGAGGTGGTGGAATCGTCTTTGGTTCAAAATGGCTTCCAGTTTTCCCCTACAGGGTAAAAAGGAAAAATTCGAAGGAGATGAGAACGATCACATGATGCATCAACCTGCATAATCATATCATATTTACAACCGCCAGCTTAAAAACTCTCAGTCCAGTAAAGCATGATTAATCTAGTTGCAGGCAAAAGGTAAACCAAAAGTATCAACTAAACAGAGCATGTGTAAATCAGCAAGCCCTCCCCCTTAGATCACCTAATATTTTGCCAAAGAAAGAAAGGACACCTCTACTTCCGACAACAATATTGGGACCATGTGTCCTGGATACGTATTTAGAAACATTGCACCGATAACAGCTGCAGAGCAATATACAGGGGACTCACCCACTAAATCCATACCATACAGTGACAGGTGGAATTGGAATACCTGGTGTTCAAGTTACAATCTTGAGCTACAGGTCAAACCTATTCAACCTAAAACTTTGCAATCCAATAACCAAGACAACCTGTTAAATCAAGTTATCGACCACATACATATGTCAATCCGCCGTGCTCCTTGAGCAGCTCAATCATGGACTGCCTCTTTGCGCCCTCCGCATCAGCTAGTGGCTGTACACAAACCAGAGAAATGTTAGCATGATTAGCAATCGTCCTAAGTGTGACATCATAATATTAGAGTCTGGACCAAGCCAGTCAATATTTACAGCACTACAGCACGAATATAACCCATCAGCAAACATAAACCTAGAAGTGCACTGGACAGAACCACGCCACGCTTCTACATTAAAACTTAACACCAAACCGAACCAAATAAGCAACAATCGAGACCGAATGAAAGTATGACTCGTCGCGAGGCAACAAACGTCATACAAACACGCTTAGAGCGAAATCAACCGATCATTGTAGCACCGGTACATTTGACAAGCCAACATAGCAAGCGCGAGACCCCATGAATTCGCAGCGCAATCTGCAAATTCCTCAAATGCAGCAAGGTTGAGACACTAAGGAAAACCGGTTCCCAAGCCCAACGCAGAAGATGGCAAGAGTACCACGCAGTAGTAGGATGAAAAGCTGCAGAGCGTGGATGTAACTGATCGCGTGCCTTTCCAAATTGTCAAATTCGACAAGCCAATCGTATCCCAACAGAAGAGAGTAGGATCTGAAACCTCTGAATCGTTCCAACACGAAAACAAAGAGCCCAAGGCGCAGCATCGACCCAAATCGAGCCCGCGACATCGGAACAGACAGAGAACAGACAGCATGCAAATCAAACGCAGACGCAAGGGGCAGGCGAGGATCGTCGGAGGAGACTGGCCCACCCCACTCCCACCCACCCACCGTGTTCTGCCAGCGGTCCTGAGAGTTGACGTCGGCGCCGTTGGCGATGAGGCACTCGGCGACGTCGTGCCAGCCGTGGAGCGCAGCGACGTGGAGCGGCGTGCGGCTGTCGTAGTCCCGGGCGTTGACGAGCGCGGCGTCCTCCTCCAGCAGCTTCCGCACGGCGCCGACGTCGTTCTGGTGCGTGTGCCATAGGATGAGCGATGTGCGGGCGACGAGCCCCTTGTCGTCGAACCGGCACCGCGCGCCCCCTTCCGACGACCCGCGCCGCTGCTCCCGCCTCCGGATCCCCATC